CTAGAATCTAAGTTCCACTTTCAATTTTTCATGTTGGTGGAAATTTAAAAGCTATTGAGCAAAACAATTATAGAAGAAATGATCTATTAGGTAAAGTTGTTTAGTTTATGTTAAATAGCTTCAATTAATTGATAGATATATTTATGGTGTGTCCAAAAATTTAATAGGATTTGTTTAATTGATTTACCATCAATTTTTGCTTAGTTTATACTAAGCAACGATGTTTAGTATATTATTTATCTAGTTTATACATTTTTACGGTTGAAATATTTTACTTTTTCCAACAATCATATTTTGTTTTCACCACATTTTTCAATTGATATTTATTCTTGTAGATGTCAATAGCTAGTATATATGACGTAATATGAATAATTTCTTGGAGATGCTCTATGCTCCAACCGTGGATGGAGTGGAACCAACAAGATAGTAGGAGTAGAAGAGCATGTAAAAATTTGCAATTTTTTAGTCAAACAAAGATACATATAAATTATTTTTCATTTTATAAACAACAAAGAAATACAAGCTTAAAAAGAATTATTTACAATTGACATTGTCGTACACATCAAAACAAATTATTCTTATAGAAATAAATGTGCTTCCACATCTCTTAATCCCAAAAAATAAAATAAAAAATGATTGAAGTAGGAAATGTACCTTTTTAAGGGTAACCGCTTGCCATATCTAAACTAGTTACTGACAAAGAGGGGATTGATTCAAGATACTCACGAAAACAAATTCAACGAAAATTTGGTAAAAATTGAAACTCAGACGATTGAAACAAGTGATGTCAAATCACGATAGTATTAAGAATTCAAATTCCTTTTCATCCACGATCACATTTAGACCATCTCTAAGAGAACATTAAAAAAGCTTAAAAAAAGTTGCAAGAGACATTTTATTTTAACCTTTTAAAGTAAAAAGTGAGTTTGACTCTCCAAATTTGAAATCTAAATTTAGAACCAACATCACTCTCTATTCTTAATTAAGCCTTTGTTTGGTAGGCATTTTTGTGGAGAGAATGTATTTTTTTGTTGATATAATGGGGAATATGTGATTGAAAAAGAAGGAAAAGTTATTGATGTGATGTAAAATATTATTTTATTAAAAAATGTGTGATTGTAAATAAGTAGAAAAATGATAATGAAAAATATGATGTGGCTCAAACATGAGCTAAAAATGATTGCATTTAATAAGTTACAAATTTAAATACTCTACAATTTAAATTATTCAAATCACATTTGAATTGATTAGTCATTAACATATAAAAAATATGTAAAATAAGATAAGAGGATAAATCAATAAATGCTCATTGGAAAAAAATAAAATAAAGAGTCAAAATAGAAAATATTGTTGGAGTGTATAAAAAATTTACTCCCCAAATTTAACGATACTCTCTATTATGTATAAGATGTTCTTAATAAATAGAGAGTCTCTTAAAGATACTTTTAGGATAGAAAAATTATACTCACTCCAATTTTAGCACATGTCTGACAAACATTAAAAATAGTTTTTTTTTTTATTCAAAGAAAATAAGTTTTGGAGTATTGATTTTTTAAAAGAATTTTTGGTTAAAAATTATAAAAAAAAATTTAAATATACGTTTAAAATATTTTATCGTATGAATGTATGATTAAAAATAAGGTAGAGAAAAAAAAGAGTTTATGAGAAAATGAATAAAAAAGATGGGCTTAATTTGTGTGGAATTAGCCTAGGTGGAGTGGAAATAACAAGGCTGTATATTTACTATTCAGGTGGTTAAACTTTTCGGCTCCTTTAGTATCTGACATTTTTACATCCCTCAATGCACTTTTCTCTGTTATATAAACACCTCGTTTGATCCCTTTCTTCTGTTTCTGTTCACCATTTTCATCTCTTATTCTCTCTAATGGCTTCTTCATCTTCTTATAATCACAATGCTAGAGAAACTCCCAATTCCAACCTACAATTTGTAGCATTTCCAAATGGTTTCGATCCAAACTCAATCCCCAACACCACTTTTGTTCAAGCCGACCCTTCAACATTCCGTGCCGTCGTTCAAAAACTCACCGGCACCACCACCACAGACTCAGCAGCCCAGAAACTCCCAGCCACCAGCCCCTCTCGTCTCACGGGAAAACCCATCCCCGGCGAAATGGGTCCTCGGAAACCCGCCTTCAAACTGCATGAAAGGAGACAATCAGCTAGAAAACTAGAAATCAAGCTCGGCGGCGCCGCCAGTTCAAACTCAATGGTTTCACCTTCTACTGCAAGATATCATCAAAGGAATTTTTTGGGGTTTAACGGTGAAACGCTAATGGTTTCGCCGGTTTCTCCGTTGGAGCTTTTTGGGCGTGGGAGTCCAAGAACGCCGAGGTCTCCTATGGAGGAAGAAGAAAAAGCCATTGCTGAGAAGAGGTTTTATTTGCACCCAAGTCCATTGAGCACTCCAAGAGGGTCTGAACCACCTGAACTTCTGCCATTGTTTCCTGTTCAATCACCTCGAGAAAAAACCTCATTTTCTCTTTTTTAATTATAATTGTTTCTTTTGAATTATTGGCTTTATATTTTATGTATAATTTGTGTCCTAACTAGCAGTTCATAAATATTTCTGTTGAGCATTTTATTGCATTTTTTTGTTGGTTTAACGAAATACTATAAAAAGTAGTTAAAAGTAACTTTTGGACCATTAACTAAGCTTTTAAGTTACTTTTCGCATCTTGTAGCCGTTGTCTTGAAAGGGTCTATCTCCGTCGCTTGATCGAGATTTTTTTTAGATAATTTTTTTTGTATCATGCTACGTACAATGAGATTGAGAAAGTTTTGACACGATTTTTAGCAAAATTTCCATCGATAAAAAGTCGAGAAGCAAGAAAAAGACCCAAATGTGATGTACTTTTAACTTTTAAGCAAAGCATCTTCATTGTGTAGATGCTATATTTTTCAAGTTCCTTGAAATCTTTTTGGGTCGTTTAATGAACCTGGCTTGAACATGGAAAATCAATGAAACATTTACGTGCATTGGTCATCAAACTTTCAAGTACTCTGACATAGTGGCTGGTAAATATTTTTTTTACCCTGCACTAAATGTTTAGAATCTAGCTAATGCAAGACTTGTACTTGTGCTGTACATTGACGATATTCCACCCCTATATTTAGATTAAAATCATTTTTTAAGTAGATCACACTTGATCTCCTGTCCACAGAGAACAAACGATTAATTTTATTTAATAAATTTAGATAAAAGTTGATGAGATGTGTGATCAAAAAATTGATAAAAATTATGGACCCTATAAAATATGGGCTTTGCTACAAGTATATCAGGGTGTATATAAGGATGTTCATAATGGACACCCGACATCCCCTTATTGGATGGAGTACCAGTGGGGCCGGCACTCCATTCAATGGGGGGGTGCCGGGTGTCCATCTTATGTACACTCCAATGTACAACAAGAATAATCCATAAAATATATATTTTAAAATAAGTTTTAATAAATAGGAATCAAACATGAATACGCGAGTTTTAGACACGAGGCGAAAAGAGTTATATTAATGTATACATGCTTGTAAGGATATTCGTACTTGTAACTTACGTTGATAGTTGCATTTGTAACGTACGTGACGTCTGTCGATGACAATAATCATTTATTATTACATACATGAGTTTTAGATACGTATTAAAAAAATTTGCATCCTTTGCCCATCTTAAATCCCAAACTACTATGCAACAAACTAATGTATCTATGTTCATAATGATACTTGAAAATTGAAACATATGTTGATGATACTCATTGTTTTTATTATTAAATATTTAAATACGTGAGTTTTAAACGTGTACGAGATTATGTGCATCCTTAATGAGTTTTCAATGCCAACAACAATACGATAAAACTAATGTATGTATGCTCATAAGGAAACTTATATTTGTACGCGCACTAATGATATATACCAATCATTTATGATTAATATATGAGTTTTCGGCACGCACGTAAAAAGATGCATCATCGACTAGTTCTAAAAACCAAGTCTTGTATCGATGTTGATGTTAGATAGGCAAACTTGTAACACATAATGCGTCATTTATTATTAAGAACATGAATCTTGAACACGTACAAGTTGAGGTACAATGATGTTTTGTTAATATTCACAAACAATTTGTAATCGGTCAAATCACTTTTTATTTACACATTTTTTGAAAATCACAAGTACTATCAACTTATTTATCACTCACTTCTATATATTTATAATGTAAACCGTTTATAAACATTTTCCAAACAACCCACCTCTTATTTGAGAGCAAAGTGAAAGTCAAAAAATGACTGATTTGATAGTTAACGACTATATTTTTTATTAAAATACTGATTAAAATTTCTCCCAAACAGGGCCTTAGATTAAAATCATTTTTTAAGTAAATCTCACTCTCCTATCCACAGCGAACAAATGGTTAATTTTATTTAGTAAATTTGGATAAAACTTGATGAGATGTGTGATCAAAAAATTGATAAGAATTATGGACCCCATAAAATATATATTTTAAAATAAGTTTTGATAAATAGGGATCAAACATGAATACGCGAGTTTTAGGCACGAGGGGAAAAGAGTTATATTAATGTATACATGCTTGTAAGGATAATCGTACTTGTAACTTACGTTGATAGTTGCACTTGTAACGTACGTATGTCGATGACAATAATCATTTATTATTACATACATGGGTTTTAGATACGTATTAAAAAAGTTGCATCCTTTGCCCATCTTAAACTTGAAAATTGAAACATATGTTGATGATACTCATTATGTTTATTATTAAATATTTAAATACGTGAGTTTTAAACGTGCACGAGATTATGTGCATCCTTAATGAGTTTTCTATGCCAACAACAATGCGATAAAACTAATGTATATATGCTCATAAGGAAACTTATATTTGTACGCGCACTAATGATATATACCAGTCATTTATGATTAAATATATGAGTTTTCGGCACGTACGTAAAAAGATGCATCATCGACTAGTTCTAAAAACCAAGTCTTGTAACGATGTTGATGTTAGATACACAAACTTGTAACACATATTGTGTCATTTATTATTAAGAACATGAATCTTGAACATGTACAAGTTAAGGTACAATGATGTTTTGTTAATATTCATAAACAATTTATAATCGGTCAAATCACTTTTTATTCACACATTTTTTGAAACTCACAAGTACTAACAACTTATTTATCACTCGCTTCTATATATTTATAAGGTAAACCGTTTATAAACATTTTCGAAACAACACACCTCTTACTTGAGAGCAAAGTGAAAGTCAAAAAAGATTGAAGAATTGGAATTTACCTTTGACAAAAGAATTCCATGGGATGGAAGTAAGAAGACAAGAAAGTGTTGCAAGAAAAGGACACGAGTCTTGAATTCTGCTCAGATTACGACACAGACTCACCAAATTAAACCTTATCTATAGACTTTGGACCTACTCTCCTCTTGAACTTTTTCATCCATGCATTTGTTTCTACTCATAACCCATGACTTGAAATCAAACCTGTCCGTCATTGATAGGCCAACCCTGTGACATTTTACAGTTTACCCTAAAATAATCTGTCCACTTAATTTAATCCAACGGATTATTTTGTATGGATTAGAAAAATTATCTTGTCTAGTCTTTCTTCAAAAGAACACAATCGAAAAACTCATATTACCTTGTGATAGTCACTACTTCGGTTCTCAATACACTGCATTTTGCAACTCACTATTTCATAATAATTTCAATATTTTTTATAGAATCTGTTAAGAATATTTGGCCTAACTCCACCTAATAAAACCTGCTTATTAGGGGGGGATTGCCCTCACTTTATTAAGTTGATCATTTATATTTACCCAAACAATGTGAGATTCTAATGCGCCCCCTCACGCACAGCGTGGACCATGCCAAACAATTGT